TATATATATATATATACATATATATATATATATATATATATATATATATATATATATATATATATATATATATATATATATATTTTATATATTTTATATATATATATATATTTTATATATTTTCTATATATATATATATATATATATATATATATATATATATATATATATATATATATATATCGGTCTGGCCGTGAAACGGATCAATTACGAGACATTTACATTGTAATATTAAAGGTGTAGCCATTTAATTGCGACTGTGTCGACAGTGGTGCGCTGAAGAAAACCCGAGAAACGAGTTTTTGTTCATTCATTAGATGACAATGACGAAATGTCTACAAAAAGAGATGCCTTTGTAGAAAAAGAAACGGGCGACTTTGTTGTACCACCAGACTCATACGCAATTTTTCTCGTTCTCTTTTTTTTTGCATTTTTTTTTTTAATATAAAATGTACACCTACTTCGTTTTATTATTGCTATTCGTCGCGATAGATTAACTTATAATCTAAAATTTGTACATCTGCGGTTTTACTGTTTACATCACACGTTGCCGATGACAATGATAGATGATGATGATGTAAAGATTGTCTCAGACGTGCTCGATGATGTGCAACCAAAGGAGAAAAACGAAATGAAAATGAAAAAAAGAAAACTGTGTTTCTATTTCTACAGATTGCTTCTTCGTTCGAAAGGCTTTTTTTTTTATCGTAATAATTGTGGTATTATCACGAACCTAATCTTTGATTCGACCTGATAAAACAACGCTCTCAAACATTCGCCGAGAAACAATAGAAACGTATAAACTCATGGATCAGCTCTACTCACTCAAATGGAATAAAATTGCGAATCACGTGTTTATAAATGCAAATATTTTCTCCTCGCGTAGCATAGACTTCTTTTTTTCCAGTTAACAAGTTTTCGAATCTATCGTTGATCACACTTTATCGAGCAGAGACCAGTCAGAGATCCAATCAATCAGCAAAGAAGCACAAAGGACAAACGATTTCCCTGTGTTCGTTTTTTTCTTCGTCGAGCCAACGACTATGTCTCACTGTATTTGCTATTGTCGGACATAGCATAGTCTTCCTTGTTTTCTACCTATCTTCAGCTAGGTTTTCCAGGCGGTCCATGGCTGGGTGGAGAAGGTCCATGTGAATGAAGGTTATGATTACTTGTCAAACTGGACATTGTGGGCTGGTACATCGAAGTCATGTAATTGCTCGACGACTGTGGCACTGACCTGAAACGTATCAAAACTCCACCTACTTTTCACAGAAAAGAATATAACTATATATTTCACTCGGTCGTATATATTTCCAATCCTAAGTTTTATTTAAATCTGATATTTATTTTTTATTTATCTGATGAATCTCAGATGAAAAACATGATAGATGATACATTTTTATTTTCTATATATATTAAGGAATATTGCTTGGTGTAATATTAAGACGTTAAAAATTATATTAAATTGTATTAAATGTGTACTAAATCAAATTATATTACATATGTAATTGTATTCCTTTTTAACCGTAAAGTGACATTAAAATTAAAAAAAGAAAAAATGTAGGAAGTTTTATCTATTTTCAAATAAATTTATATTTTTGAATTATACGTTATTCGATCATTTTTTACCTTGGTACTCCACGCAGAGGATCTGGTGTAACGGACGAATTCCTGACCACACCAGAATTACTAGTCGGTGCCGGAGACACTATATTACTAGGCTGCCCTTGGTGGTATGCGCTCCCAGCTGGACTGTGTCTGTTCACAATAATTTGAGAAAAACAAACTTGCAGCTTCAGTATGTGTGATATCAGGTAGAGGACAGATACGTTACCTGATCGTTGGACTTGGCTGGGGTGCAACCAACGATGTCCTGTGCTGGTACTGTGAGAGTGAAGCTGCAGCAGGAGGTGATGGATCCGGAGGCAGGCCATTTTCCAGTGTTGTAGAATGATTACTGGAGCTTGAGTGAGGCATGTATGTGTTGTTTACTCGCGGTTCCCTACTCACTCTTGGAACAGGGGCTGCAGCTCCTGGTGGGACTTCGGGATGTGGGACATTGGGATGCGATGGGTTGACTGTTGGATGTATGTTGTTCACTATAATTTAAGAAGATTGATTTTTGGGATGATGATTAGAAGAAATGAATATGGAAAAGTGAAATAAATTACCTGGATGGGTACTAGGCTGAGTCGTCAGAGGAATTGCAAGTCTAGCGTTCACAGCCAATAAGTGATCTCTCCTCTGCAGAAGACTATTTACATGTTCCTCTAATCTAAGATTTTCTGCTCTCAATTGGTGAAGACACGAAAGTAAAGAAGCGACTGTAAAAGGAATTTTACATTCTGTTTTAATCCGTACAAGTGTTAGTGAATCAAACATGAACTAGAAAGCAACACATATTTAGCATTTTAGTTAAATATTTTTAATATATAAACTTACTGTTACAAAAAAGATGCAGTAAAAAAAAGAAAAAAAAAAAAAAAAATGAAAATCCCCGATTTCACCCGATTTTACCAAACCCGTATGACTGAAAGCATGTTTTTNAAAAAAAAAAAAAAACAAACAAACAAACAGTATTTCTTTTCAATGCTTTTGTATTATATTTGCCTTCACCAATTTCTCTTTTTTTTTTTTTTTTTTTTTTCAAACAATCTTCCATTATCAATGATATTCTATTTCTTTTTTTCTTCTTCTTGCTTCTTTTCACAAAAGCTGATTTTAGTCACTCAGCAAGAATTTATGCTGCAGGATTGAAAGGATTGGCGGAAGTAACATGTGTATTATATAATATAATATATTGTCACAGTTTGCTCGTCCCATAAGGTATCTCATTCTTATCTCATTTGTTTAGATCCTAAGCTACTGCCTGCTTTCACGTCGTCTCTTAAATTACGCGCTCCCTCAAGAACTCGCACGTATCAGATACACTCGCAAACAGTGGTTGCAGCGTTTTTATCACTCGATATACTTCAATGTTTGTTGACGTGCTTTCCAACTCCTTTTCCGCGGATTCTTTGACTTTTCTGACGAATGAAATTCACTTTATAGAGTGGGAGGATTCCTCAACTTCCGGTTCTTTCATTCTCTTCGAACTTTGCACGTATTTTACACTGTTATATTATTGTTATATGTACAATATAAAAATAATACAACCTCTCTCTATCTCTATCTCTAAACGTTTCATCGTGACTTTGGAATTCTTCAAGATCCCGGAAGTTGCGTTAAAAAACGATGCAACCGTCATTACGTGTAGAGTAAAGTGAATGGAAACAAACGTTTCTTCACTTCCTTCTCGCAAGCCATTTCAAGTTACAAGCTGGTATTTCGACAACACAAAGAAACAACACAAAGATCGAACCCCGGCGAACTGTTTCATCTCTTCTTTTCGTTCTTGTCATTTCTTCTTCTCCTCTTTTCTTTTCTTTTCTTTTTTTTTTTCTTTTTTTTTCTTTAATCTTACTTACATCGAACTAATTAATTGATAGATGCGTTATTGTCACGTGCGTCAGAGTGGCCATCGACACCGTCACTGAAGAGAAAATATACAATTCCTCCTCGTTCAACTATTGGAACTTATTTTTTTTAAAAAAAATACCGCTAGTGTCAGTCCAGTGGCGCTGGTTTTCTCTTTCTTGGAAGTTATCAATTCGATTAAAAATTGAACTCGATCGAGATCCGATAAAGATTTCGTTGAAACATTGGTAGATAAATTTCATTATTCGTATAAACGAAGATTGTCAATTGGAATCGGGCGAATTAAAAATTGCGCCGAGCACAATTCGATGAATCATATATTTTTTTTTTTTTTTTTTCGAGATACTTTCGAGAATCACTGATTATATTACCATATGACGTAAAGTGATGCTTCAATGTCGCAACTGGTGTACTTGTGATTTTTTTCTAAATTTATTCAGTTGGCAGTTCATAATGTTCGTGATTGATTTTTTAAATATTCTCACTTCGTACTTTCGTATTTAAAGAGATGCACCTGGCGCTTAGTTTATAAGCTATACACGGCTTCTTAAATCCTAAACGATCTAAACGAAATGCTAAAACTGTCGAGGATCGACTAGGCCACGGTGACGATGAACACCCTGATCGATAGTTCTCCACGAGAGTTCACGATGATCGTTGAAGTATGTTCCATAAAAAAAACGCAGCTAAACTAGGGAAACTAGATTAATCGTAATCGAGAGCCTCGACGATTCGTCTTTCATTTTTTTTTTTCCTATTTTAACATTCAATGGAAGAATTAGGGTAAAAGTCGTGGTTATTTCTTACTTATCAATTTATGAAACAATTTTCTCAAATTTCTCAAATTTTTCTTTTTTAACTAGCATCGGCGATTAGTATCGAAATGTACAGAAAGTTGCAGTACAAGTCGGACCACAATTACCAAAATTTCTTTGCGAGAAACACGATTCTCTCACAGATTGGAATCTGTATTGAAGAAAATGCTAGATTTAGAAATAATAATAAATCAATCGACTCGTAGAACCTGCGGCATTTAATTATGTTTAAATTGCTGAATGTATGAAGAAGAGCGAAGAAAACTTGCCAACTTGGAAACTTTTCATTTCTTCAATGCGACTCGATAAATTAATCGTTTTTATTTCAAAAAGAGTTCAGAAATTTGCGAATTTTTTTAAAATATGTAAGTACCATTTTCTAAGAAATAATAAATTTAACTGGTTGATTCGCTTATCATGATTTTCTGCCCATCAGAGGTGTCACGTTTTCGAGGGAAAATTTGCAACTGGCGAACCGCCGAGGCTTGCAAGTTTCGACAAATGTGACTAACTGTAAATTAGTTTAGGATTGTGGACGCAGCAGGACGTTTCGTTAAATTAGACGAGATCTGGCTCCGAGAGATGACTCCATATTTGTTTCTTTTTTTTTTCTTTTTTTTTAGAAAAAGCTTAGCTTTAGCTTGGTCCTAGGATAGTTTCGCTACAGATATGCTGGAATTTTGTCGTTCCTCTTTCACTTGTCTCGATGAGAATAAATTCCCTTCGCTCGTTCTCCTTTCACGAACAATCGTCGAATTAAAATTCTCAGTGACTCAAAAAAAAAAAAACAAAATTTCGAGGTCTCAGAATTTGTCGGTCTTTTTCGAAAAAGATTGCAAACGAAAAACTTGAAAACCGCGACGTGAGAAACTTTACGAAATAAAAAAAAAAAAAAAAAAAGAAAGAAAGAAGAAAACGCGACGATTGTAACTTTCTTAAAGTAAAAGATAATTTACACTTCGAAAACATTTACACATCGTGACATTTTTCGAGATATGTTGCGTTCGTCGCCAAGTAATTTCCCGCAAATCTAAATCTCACAGTTTTTGTCAATTGTTTTCTCGCATCTCGGCGAGAATTCAGCGATTGAATTTGTCCGAAAATTTCTTCTTCCGAGAAGAACACGTGAAATGAAAGTCACAGCGCGTAAACAATGGTGTCTATGAGCGATCGTGAGCGAGACAAAGCGTTAAGTCTTAAGATAATTCTCTTAGCGTTGTCGGCTAAATCAGAATTCGTTCGATCTGGACAAATTCTTACGAGCTGACTGATATTTTCCCTCCTGCTGTTTAGTAAAACGCACACAAAGAAAGAAAGAAAAAAAAAAGTGTCGTGGCTTCTTTTCTCTTTGGATTCACAAGAAGCCACAATCCTCAACTGGTACACCACACTGAGGGTCTCTTCAATTTTCCATCGCAATTTAATTTCTATTCTCTCATCTCGAATTTATCCCCTTCCCCTCCCCTTTTACAAATCCACATCGTTTAAAAATCGTTTTGCACGAAAGCGAAAGTAAAACGTACAAAGTTCAAGACAATTTCAATTTAGAGAAACTGGAAGAAACGCAGCAGAGTTTTCGGCAATTCCTTTTGTCTGTTATTTGAACGAAGCTTCTATTTTTTTTTTTTTTTTTTTCATTTCTTGTCAGTCTGCCACGTTTCTCCCGTCGAGAAGTACAAAAGAATAAATTTTTCACCGGCACACAACAGTCGAGACGCGATCTTTGAGCGATCTAATCAGTTCTGTACATGCGTTAATTACAATAATCAAGTATTTATCGAATGCGTTGATACAATCAAGTTTCGCAATCAGACGAGAAAAATTGAAAAACTTCTTCACTCGCCTACCAGTTGAAGATTTAAATATTAAACTCGGCGCAATCTTCCCTTTTGCATCTCTTGCTCCACTCACGCTGCGTGCATTTATCGTAAGAAAACGAAAAAAAAAAGATACAGTGGAATGATCGATAAAGAAGAAGAAGAAAAAAAAGAAAATGCTAGAAGATCGAGTAAAATCGTTCTAAAATCGCTTAAAGAGAGAAAGAAGAAAAAAAAAACGTATAAAAACCCTGAACATCCGCCCTGTTCTTCGCGACAACGCGAAACTAAAATCTTTCTTTCTCTTATCATCGTTTCCTTTTTCTGTGAAACGTGCGTTCAAAATTTAATAAAAAAAAAAAAAGGAAGTAAAAAGAGAGGGGGGAAAAAGTGTTTCGAGTAGCCAGAGCCACTCGAGTGACTGTCCGTTCTCACGTAAATCGAAATTTCGCTGGCGATTCTATGGTGTGTTTATGGTGCACGCGCCAACGACGGTGGCAGTAAAACGCGATTAATTATTGTATTATGCGGTCGAGTGCCAGCGCGCTACGATGATCTCACCCTTCGTTTCTTCGTTCGTTTTCAACCATAAATCCGCGAACTATTCAGTAATTGCTTGTAGTATACCACGTGTTATTATTTCAGTATTACACGCACGCAATATGTAAACTTGTTTCTTTCGATTTTTCGACGAACGACACAGTTCGAAAAAAGTAGAGTTTCTCCAGGAGAAACGAGAACTTCGATGTTAATTTGTTGATTAAAAAACAACGCAAATTAAACTAGCATCATATAAAATTCGTATTCAAGGTAAAATTTGTAAAAATTCATAGTAAATGCGACGCGGTGTCGCGCGAATCGGGAACAGCAACGTGATTCCTTTCTAAGCCCCCTTCGAATTCTGAAGATCGACGAGCAATCTCTCGGTATGCAGTTGAAAAATTCAGTAAGAATTACTTGTTGAATAAAGTTGCACAAGTTTGCATAAAGACTGCAAATGATTTGCTTTTTATATTATATAAAATATTATGTATAATATATTACTATATTATAATAATTATAAATATAATATAAATTATAATATAGTACTAATATAAATAATAATATTATAATATATTACTATATTACAATAATTATAAATATAATATAAATTATAATATAGTACTAATATTATATAAATTATAATATTATAATATCTTATATTATTATATATTATATTATACATATAATATTCAATAGCGGGAAGAGACTACTGAACTCAAACATTGGGTAATTAATAATTAGATTCAGCAGAAAAAAAACAACAGAAACGAAGGGTCTCGAAGATCACCGAGAATGAACATGATACAATGTGCAATGAAATGGTATGATAACAATAAAACGTCTCTCTCTCTCAAGTCGTGCATCCACGTGTCCAATCAAGAGGAGCAAATCACGTTTTCCTTTCCTAGCCACTTGCTGGATTGTTGGCGCCCCTTGACGTGTCAAAATATTATACTTCTTCTTCTTTTTTTCTTTTCTTTTAATTTCTTCGTGGCCGTTGGTTGTTTATGATGTTACACCTCCGCGTTGGAATCGCGTGGATGATAATTTATCGCCGATATCTTAAAACCAGTTTGATGCAAAGACGTCGTCCGAGACGAGAGAACCAGATTTCTCGCACGGTGACACTGTCAACTGCTAGGCGTCCTAATTCGATATGGCTGCCTCCAATAAGGACGCTCGTTGCACTCGGGAAATCAACAGGGAAAAATTTCAAATGTTCTGTGAACCAGACTGTGTACTTTTATGCAAAATTTATGTTCTCGCTCAATGGAATGGAAATTAAATACAAATACTTGTTTCGTCCGCTAGGGAGTAACGCTCTTTGTGCACGTTTTTTATAAAATATAATAAAAATACACAGTCTACATTCGTGGATAATTAAAGACAGAGCTTGCAGAGCTCGATCAACTCTTTGAAATTCAAATAAATATCATTTGCAATCCGGTGAAAAATTTGAGAATCTTACTCTCTACAGACTCTCAGGTGCGAAAGACTCTAAATTCCAAAGTTATTACATTTTACTATCCGAGTTGAGATGAATGAAACCAGAGCCGAATATTGTTGTACAGTCTGCGTAGATTTCTCAAATTTGTCCGCCGGGTGAACGTGAAGTGAAGTGAATTTCTTTCGGTAGTAAGTGCTCCCTGAACTTCCCGAGTGGCGTCTGGTTCTCTTGGGACCGGAAGTCATCGTTGTGGAGGCTGAAGGTCCATTCTGACTGCGGTTAAACCTGAGCGGGTTTCGACTTGCCGACGACCAGCATTATCTTTTGCAGGAACTTCGTGATTCTTACTGTAAAAGCAACAATTACACGGAATTAGCATCGTTAATATATCCCGAATAGTGCATTCTTCAGTGAGATAGATGATTAGTTAAAGTTTCAGTCTTGATGTGGAGTCGTCAAATCGTAAATCGACAATTATATATTAGATGAAAGACAATTATCGACAATTATGTATATAAAAGATAAAAGTACATTGTTTTGCACAATCGTCCAGACTTCTTCAAAAGTTTTCTTTTAACTTTATCTTTATTTTTGATCTTTAATCTTATCACGTGTATATTTACGTACAGTAATATGTATTTTGTATATGTAATTAATAATATTAATTATATTAATATTATAATATTTTAATATTAATATTAATTGTATTAATATTATAATATTTTAATATTAATATTAATTGTATTAATATTATAATATTTTAATATTAATATTAATTGTATTATGTTAATATTATAATATTTTAATATTAATATTAATTTTATTAATTATGTTAATATTATAATATTTCAATATTAATATTAATTTGATTAATTATGTTAATATTATAATATTTTAATATTAATATTAATTGTATTAATTATATAATAATAATTATATTATATTATATATTAATTATGTTATTATAATGTGCGTGTATTTTGATAATACATTTCTACGAATTGAAAAGATCGATTAATTATTGGTTTGACGACACCACGATCGACTAATTCAAGCTGGAAGAGTCAGCGGTCGGACTTTGATTTCGATTTTATCAGTTAATCAAAATTTGTACTTGGGTGCACCGTACATAAGGACCACTGTTACGAGTTAGTGTGCGTGGTGCTGATCATGTGAATGCAGCATGCAAACATAAATTTGAACAATGTTTGAGCAAACGTAATCTAAATACTCGTCAAACTTGACATAAAACTACGATACGTATGAAATATATTATTACATTTCAAAATATAATAATAATAAAATATATTATTCAATGTAAATATAATATTAAATACAATAATAAAATATGTTATTATATTTTAAAATATAATAATAAAATATAATATATCATTGTATTATATATAATTACATTATAACGCAAACTATACGTAGAAACAATATGAGAATCTTCATCTAAACGAAATGAGAAACCAAGAAGAAATAAAAAAAGAAAATGTAGACGAATATTTGCTTAAACGATTCAAATTTTGATTAGCGACGTGAACATGAAAATCGTAATGCAACAAAGACTACGCAAGATGACTATGTCTTGATATTAATAATCCAGAAAAAAAAAAAAAAAAAAAAAAAAAAATGAAAATCCCCGATTTCACCCGATTTTACCAAACCCGTATGACTGAAAGCATGTTTTTCATTGCCGTACACTCACTATCAAAGTGCTGGGCTTGTTCCATCAGAAACTGACTTCCTTGTTCCCATTGCCTCTCTAAAAGTTGGTCGAGCGTTTGGGGTATTGCTCCACTGCCTAAAGCACCAGTACTGGTTGTGCTAGCGCCCGAGCTATTGTTTGTGTTAGTATTGGTAGTAGTATTAAAAACTGAAGAAAATGATGTGGGCGGTGCACCTGATTGATTGGATCGTATCTATAAAATATGTATCATTGTTAAAACGCAAAATCTCGAAATACCTGCTATATTTTATTTTCAAGACACCTACAGATGCAATTACTCGACTATGTAGCTGCGGACCAACTAAATTCGTTGTGGAATTATTAGCTTCCGTAAAAATAGAATGTGCTTCGAGTTCTTGGGAGAGAGTATCAGACATTTTTTGTGCCATCGTGGATGTCGGGTTCAACTGATTTCCGAGCATATGTGGTGCACTAACTCCATTCTGAAATCTGATATTACTACAAATTAGAATATGTACAATAATATAAAACATTTATGGCAATCGTCTGTGATTCTTACAGTTTCACATCCTTTTCCTCTTTTGGGTTCGTAAGCGTCGGAGTAGTGGATGCAGAAGGTGTTGGCGTCGTTGAAGCTGCACTGGTTCCTTTTCTTTTCCTCCTTCCTGGTCCACTACTGCTCATACTCTCAGAACCGGGACTGCTGGGTGGAGATTCCTTGACAGTAGGGCCCATAGTGTTTGCAGATACAGAACCAATGTTACTAAAATGACCACTACAAAGTGTTGGTCCTTGGATAATGGATGATACAGGTGCAACAGTTACAGCAGGTGGAGGAGTTTGATGATTACTTCTTCCTCCTCGCTTAGACGTTGTTACTACTGCATTGCTAGATACTGACGTTACCACGGATGAAGCTGCTGATTGAGATTGCTGCTGATGCTGTTGCATCTGTGACTGTGGCAGTGCTGGTTGACTATTTGATGATCCACGTTTTAGTTTGCGAGGCTTTTCTTGTTTATCTGACGATTGAGAACTGAGAAAGCAACGAAACGTAAATTTAATTTATTTTGTCGCATTGATTAACTGCTTTTTTTCTGCGGCCTTGAAACTAAGAATACTTGAGAAATTTCGGAAAGTTGATTCTTTACGCAAAATTTGAAATAATATTAACCGCTATTTATTCCTTTCACGTTACTCCTTTCCTTCGTTCATTGCCCTTGAGGCTCTTTGAAGTAGAAAAAACCAACATAACCTCAAAGTGCCCGTAAAGACGAATTAGAGGACAAACAAAATCACAGTAAACATTCACAATAACTTTTCTTCAGAAGTTTACAATTTACATCACACAAAGATAAAATAAAAAATTGTTCTGAATACATTTTTGCACTCGTGCAATTCGTAATTCGTTGCAAACGTTTTCCAATCGCCACGATGTTCTCCGGTGATTTTAAACAACAGAGTCGCATCCTCGATGAAACGATATTTTGCATAGTACCATAAATCCACATACAACAAGATTTTTTCTACCTGAATATATTTACGAAACGCAAGAAGAGGTTAAAAACAAAGAGGCTTGTTTATCCACCTAATCAGCCATTTTGATATCTTCCGTTTTGGCGCGCATTTGAAATTATTCGTATTAATCTAAAGAATTTCCCGATTATTTTCCCTCTGTATTCCAATTACATACACGTATTACGAATACAATTACGTAACAATGATATTAATTCAACGAGAATGATAATAATTATGAACATTATTAATAATGTGGATGAAATACCAGCACCAAAATTTGAATTCAAACTTACCGAGACCTCTTAATAGGAGCTTCTTCCGCGATAAATCTTTCGGAATTTGACATAGCACTTGTTCTGGATTGTGTGGTGGCTGCGGTAGTTATGATACTCTGTTGCAATTGTTGGTAAAGCGTTGGGGCACTCGTCACCACGCTCTGTACAGTACTAGATAATGATGTTGCGGTTAATGGAACAGATACGACTATACTGTTTGATGTGGTTGTCGGTGACTGAGTAACAATCGATGATTGAGACTGCGTTACTGCCATTATCACAGGTGTGGTAGTCACTTCGGTAGTGACTGGAGTGCTCGACGATGACTGCAGGGGGCTCTCCACCTTTAACTTAATAAGAAAATTTCGAAATATAAATCATATGGAGCACAAGCTTCTTAATGAAAATTACATGAATTCTTAGTTACTTTCTTCGATTTTTCTGGCTCCGTGGTTGTGCTTAAGCTTGTCGCTTCAGTTATAGTTGTCTGTACATTATTGCTCGATACAGCTTGCTGTACAACAGAACTTACAGCAATTACAACCGAACCGCTAGCTTCGGAACTCACCGATTGGTTTGAATTTTCATTTCCTATTACCGTTGGCGTTCGCGCTCCTGTCTTTCTTTTTTTACTGTGGCTCGATGTTTTATTTGATGACGAAGAGTTCGATTTTGTTTGTCCACTATTTTTATGGCCGGAGCTCGAGTTTGATCCGGATTTAATGGTAGCAGCCACCGCAGCAGTAGTGGACGTGGTACCATCATGTCCGAACACACTCTCCGATTGGGTGACGATTGTTTCTACGAAGTTTGAAGTGGTGAATTTACTGGAATTTGTGGTGTTGTCTTTGGGTGTATTACGGCCGCTACTGCTTTTGTCGTCAGCAACGCCATTTATTTCTAGACTTGGACTAGTATTCGATTTGTTTTTAGAATTTGTAGCAGATTTGGAACTTGAACTCTTTCGTTTACCACTTGACGAAGATTTTATCGGGGTCTCTGCTTCCTTTTCAGGAGACGAGTCTGACGAACCATTATCAGCAGGTATTGGTTTGTAAGGTGGTATTGTTTTTACGTTACCACCTTTTTTCTGCAAGTGAAACGATCAAATTGTTATTGGAAATCAATTGATTCCGATTTTAATGAAATTTGGTTTCAAACAGTATCAGACACACACCAATTTCGAATAATGATGCTGACAATATCCACAGTATTTAACATTATCTAGATAATTGCCAGCTTCTTCGCAGAGCAACCCAAGAGCCTGAGCGCAAGTAACATGAAATTGCTGCCTGCAGCCAGTCTTGTTGCACTGCATACAGGCTCCTACATTTGCTCTACTGCCTCTTCCTTGTTCTTCACAAATGTAACATGACTGTAATAATCACATTACATATACTTCATATTAAATAATCATTACCAAATGTACATTTTACTTTGGGAAGTTTTTACCTTACTAAATCTCTCCGATGGTATCAATTGCAAAATAATTGGCTCCATCGTTGTCACGTTACCAAACCTAACTTCAGGTATGTACAGAGCACATACCACATGTGCCCAGCCAGCCTGATCAGTCCTTTTAAGAGCTCCATCTCGGCTTGGACACAACTCACAACGCTGCAAAGGAATTTAACAATTACGTGACTAATGTAATCTTGGAATCAATCACGTGACTATTGCACGAAGCAATAAGAATTTTAAAACTTACTACACGAGCACTACGTTCCTGTGACTCACATTTCCTGCAATACCATGGTCCCGTGGGTACCGTAACAATACCGTAACAAGCTGCAACAACATTGGAATGTAACATCATAATCTCATACTTTTAATCTAATTGCAATTTAAAGCAGTTAAAGGATGAAGAGTGATAGACAAACCTTGGTGTACAGCAACAGTACAACCTTGACCATCACAATACACTAGTGGATTTTCAGTCCAACCCCTCTCGTCAGAACACACGCAGCACCCTCCAAGCATCTCCTTCATGCTGTGTTCCAAGCAATTCGGAAGACGAGACTAGCATGAGGAGCTAGGCGAGCCGTAAGCGGAGATGTATTGCGAGGTAACCTCGCTTTCGTAATTGCATCCTGGCGATGTGTGATTTTTGGCTTTTTTTTCCTAAACTGTTCCTCTCGAAGCTCGTGGACACGCGTGACGCATTCAACGGTGAATCGTGGCTTGGAATGCACGACTGCACGTTGTCCGTTGCCCGCACGATTCCACACCGTGGAAACACGAAGCACCGAGACCGAGGCGCTTCCAGAGTACCGTACACTGCCTGTTCTTTAAAGAAATACCGTTTCGAAACGTGATCGGACAGTTTGTTATTTACAACGGCGCTCTATTTGTTTCGTTGGTCAGCCATCTTATTTTGTAGTGGCGCCTGGCGTGCGCACGCGCAACCTCGCGCTCTGCCGCGAAAATGGAAGAGCGCGTTCGAAAATCGGACAACGATCAACTTTTTCTGCAACACGAAGTGCAAATAATTACTCCCAGCTCGACGATAGAAATTTCTGCTTCCTCTCGTTGGCAAGTATTCAAGTGTTCAAGTGTAAATCATCACAGGTTTTTCTTCATTCGTTCACAGATTTTTAAGTGTTTTCACTACGCTCGGCACTAACTTCTTTTTCTTTCATGTTCTAAATTTCAGAGTACAAGAAGTATAAGACTAGAAAGAACGTAAGAATAATAAAAAAAAATAAAAAAAAAAAATACTTCGAAGAGATTCGAATTCCAGTATTGACCAATCAGAGGCCTAGCGCACGGCTTTAACCTGATACCTTCCAAGAATTTACACTCGAGTAACGTGGGCCCATTCAACGACGTAATCGTGATGTAACCAAAAATATTGAGTTGCAAGATATTTTTATCAACATAAACAAATCGTGCAATTAATCGCGACATACATAGGTAAACTACAGTAAAATAAATCGCCAGTCTACCTCAAGTGAAAAAATAAACTATTCGATGAAATAAAAAATACGGTAAAGTAGATTTCTAATTCATTGACAACTTCGTTCTCAAAGGATATCGGTAGGAAGAATGGAATCGAATAACGATCAATATATCCTTGAATGGGCGAATGACGCTCATCTGTCTGAGATTTTGTCTCTTTTACATGAAAATTTCGACAAAGAGGAGACAATGTTGAAAAGTCTGAGAGACAATAATTCGTTGACAACCGAGGACGAAGAAATAATGAGAATCGACCACGAGCAACTTATACGAGCGATTTTTGCTTTCTCACCGTGCATCGTAGCGATCGAAAAATCGTCGGGGAAAATTGTCGGGGTAAATCTGATGATAGTCAGTGGAAATTCGAAATGTAACGACGGCGTTGATGGCGTTTCCGCAGCGTTCACCAACAACCCGCCAAAAAATAAATTAATGAAACGATATTTTAATTATTTATCTGAGATCGGTGAGAAGGCTGATTTGTACGGAAGGTATCCGAACTGCAAAAAGGCAGTGGAGTTTTACGCGGTTGCTGTGAACAAAGATCACCGTAGACAAGGACTTTCAAGATCATTGATGGCGGCGGGAATTTCCTCTGCAAAAGATACGATGCAGGACGTCGGATTCATATTCGGAGTCTATACATCGTTGTATTCGAAAAAGGCGGCGGAGAAACTTGGCCTGAAAAGCATCATGGACGTAGATCTGTTGCATTACAAGGACGATGATGGCCAACCTATTTTCCAAGACACTCCGCCGCATAACGTTGTTTCTGTGATGGTCTTGCAACTTGCTTGAGATTCTCCAGACACCTTTTTTTCATTCTACAAAAAGATATAAACATGTATATTTTCGACAGAAAGAAATACACGATGCCAAAATCGAATGTTTTATACCTTTTATTTGTTATTCCTAGTTTAAGGATAATGAAGAATATACGCTGTGTGTAGCGCAGTAATGATTAATAAAAAATAACGAATATATATTGTCAATAAACGTTATTTATCTAGGACATGTTATTTAGATAGTTTTTGTACTGAATATTAAATTAACTTAATTTTGTGTTAAATAATTTATTTTACTATATTTCAGTCATCAATTAATTTAAAGAAATTATGTTCCACACTAGAATTTACTAGTTATTAATTGTTGTCTATCATGTATGTAGATATAAAGATATATCTTTTACCTGTGGTAATCATTTGCAATCATCAACTGCAACAGTTTCTAATTTATTTTATTGTACTCTTAAATATTTATAAATATTGAACAATGGTATTAGAAAGTGGACAACTGGCCTGGCTGGATACGATCCAATCGTCAATCCTTTCTCAAAGAAACATTTGTCATTTGTTTCATTGCCGTAAAATGTGACAACGTTGGCTAAAGAACATATTCCATCAATATCTCAACATGGGAAGTACATACATATCACGATTTCTGCATTGAAAGACCCGCGAATCGAAATGGTTATATATGTACAATTTTGCGTGTTAGATCGCGGTATAAAATTACAGGTCAAATTGTAATTCGTCCAGACAAGCGTAATCGAGATTTTAGAAAACGTTATACAGTCTACAATTGTATATACAACAAAGAAAATTATATTATTGTGATTAAAAAATTTGTTCCTTTTTTTAATAAATTTCTTTCGATAATATAAATTGAAACATTTGGTAATGAAAATTTAAAGGAAAAGAAATTCACGATTTGTTTTCATGTTTTTTAAAACATCGGATATCGGATCGTATTTAGGACGTTATCGATACAATTTCCTGGTAATCCATTTGAACGAAATTTTAGCGAGATACGACAGTATATGTTCCATTTCTAACGATAACGTATCTTCTACTGTTCAGTTTTTTATTATTGCAATACGTTTGACATTTTTTAAATTGTTGACAAGTATAAAGTTAAAAATTTTGTCGTTACAGAATAGAAATGAAATAAAATAAAATTGCACTATACTATTGTATAAAAAACAGTCTGTTAGAAGAATCCATCATTGTTAGTAATCTTCATCTCCAATTGCGAAAACCTATAAAAAAGTTTACCTTGTTCCATTATAAACTGAATATCGTTTCTTGTCAATCAAGGAAAAGAATTTCAAGTTTATCGCCACTGCTAGATGATTCAATTATCAGTTCTCAATAAAGACTTGGCCCGTTGATTAATCAAATTAGTATCACCTACGGTTAACAGCACTTTGAAAAACCTGCGAGTTGGCTAAATTTACTTCTGCGGTTACTTCTCCCCTTCTAACTAGTACATATCCTTGCACGTAGATATGTGGTTCGCTGACTAGCATATATCACGTTTCTTAACGACTATCTTTTGCAGTCGATTATATCTTTTGTTGTCGATTATAATGGGTTCATTCGACTCCAAAGAATTCCTTGCTATCTAATGGCCTCGTAATAAATCGTAAATCATGTTCGTTACAGGAATCCGAGATCCAAATTTTCCGTCAATAATCTGAAAAATTGTTATTTCTTTATCAGTCGAATTTTGTTTTTATTTCTGATTTCGTTGAATCAATTTGATCCGTATTTTAAAAACATATGGTAATAGAAAGAAAGAGTGGAAAAATTGAGGAAATTTTGGCGTACATGAAACAAGATACTATCCCACTGTATATATTATTGATGTAGACACATTGATGACAGTTTTAAACTACTTTCAAATCTTAGCAAGTGGCCGATCATCGTCAGTATGGTGTGATCCAGCGTTGTTTACACATCTCTCAGTCGAGACGAGGAAGAAATACATACTAGAAAAGAGTCGCGGTCCCTCTCTTTAAATCAATCATTGACGATTACTGATATAAAAGAGCAATTTTCTAAAAAAAAAAAAAAAAAGTACGAAATGGTGAATTGTACAAATTACGTAGAAAGCTTTAATCATAGTTTTTTAATACTGGCTGTTTCTTTTACTTATTTATAAATTCATCGTTGTATTGTAAAGTCATGATAGTTTTTTGAGTTTTAATACAAAATTAGTTATTCTAAAGTGGATTGTGTCTCATTTGAACTTTCAGGACACGAAACAATGACGACACCGTACCGAATGTGGGGCTCCTCGGAAGACAAGACCGTTGAATTCGAATCCCTGACGAAAAACACTTTCGAAGGAGCGCTCGAGGTCATTAGGAAGAGTTTTTTCGTCTACGAGAATGTATGCAGGGGAGTAAATCTGCTCTCAGAACCAGGTGCATCAGAAGAACTGGAGGAACTTTGTTTGGAGACAGCCAAGGATGGAGTTAGTATAGTGGCCTTGAATGTGAGCAATGGAGAAGTTATTGGAGTGGCCTTTAACAAGATACAGGTAAATAAACATGAACAGAAAATCAAAATAATAATATCACACACACACACACAGCTCTCGATATTATATATGTATAATATATTTTCAGGTTCTTACCCGTCCATCAGAAAAGAGCGCTTTCGAAATATTCAGTGAAAACTGCAAGTATAAATCATCAAAAGCTCTCGTGAATTTCATCATCAATATGGATGCCAGAGTAAATTTATTCAAGCATTACAACACTGACTGTATCTTCGAAATAATGTTTCTGGCTACGTTGCCTAAGTATCAGAAACGCAGAATAGGTGAACTATTGGTATCTACGTCCATAAAAATAGCAAACGAGTTGAAAGACGGGAACAATGTAAAAATACCAATCACAATAAACGATAACAGTTTGATACGTAATCTGAGGGCACTACCTAATTTAGTGACTGCGCTGATGACATCAAACTATTCACAGAAAATTGCAGCGAAGTGTGGATTCGAAAACCTGGTGACAGTTAGCTTCGAAGAGTTCGAGTTCAACGGGAAGACTTTCAGTGAAAGGATAGGGGATGAACACGAACACTGTGTCTTAGTAGCTAAAAAACTGTTAGACTGAATCTAATTATTTAAGATACTAATTTATTATTGGATTGCGAATTTTTATGCGTTTTCATTATAGATTGTAATTTTCATTATAGATTGTAGTTTTTCTTTTATAGAAACATAAATTTGTATAAATATTCGTAGCTTATCTATTATAAAAGAATTGATGCCGATTAATTTTAGTTTTAATGATGCAAAAGAATATATATATTTTCATATAAAATTGTACCCAGTATAAAGATAATTGGATTATCGTAGTGTCATGACTGTACTCTCAGGTTATCAGGCACTGTGTTCAAAAATAATTTGCTTATCAGTGAAGACTGCCATTTAGATACATTCTGTCAGCATACGGGGCTGACAAATATTATTCAAAGTATTATCATATCTTTCTTTTTTCTGGAATAAACAATTTGTTCAATTCACTTTCGAATTATTCTTCTTTCTCTGTCAGTAATAATTATTATTTATATCATGTCCTACATAGTGCAAGAGTATTCAGTATGAAAGATAACAGTGTCTTACTTGCAGTTTTGCGATACAGATAACAAAAGCGTTTTCCCCAGTATGCATTAATTGGACGCTGAAAAATCAAGCGGTGGCTACTTATCAAGACACTGGAGCTATACCAACAATAGAGTGTAGGTCGCTTGGAATAAACTACTCGAATTTAGCTTCATTCCGCCAGCGTGCATGCTGCCGGGAACATCGTTTTTCTCTCAAATACCAGTCTATCTATCATTGAGCTATCGCTACCACTCATCTTAGCACCTGGTGTCTCTTATCTGGCTCTTTATCAGCCTGTCAAAACAGCAGGTAACAGATACAATCCGCCTACCACCTGAAATAAAATTGACAAAATAATAATCAAAAATTAAGTTAGGACAGTCCATATAAAAGTGGGAGAGGGATCCAGTTTTTGGAAATATTAGTTACGAGGGCTTTTAAAGAAGTATTCACAAAATTCTAAAATAATTCAACCATTGAAAAAAAGCTTTTCAGTCACGAATCATTTGCTTCTGAGAAATATAAATTTTCATTGTTCTTGTACTATAGAGTTCCCTATAAAATGCACAAAGATCCATAATTTAAGTATTAAAAAGCTCCAGTAAATTACTGACGGTATTTTCGATCTTCTAAGTAATGTTCCTGGACTCGGACGATGAACTGGTCTACAAACTACTCACCAGAGACAAAGTAGAAGATGCTTTGGCTCTTCAAGCTCAGACTATGAAGCAGGAGAATCTAGCAATAGGGTTAGGAATGTTTGAAGACGATGGTGCTCCAGAGGAGATGAACCTAATCTTCAAAGAAATCATCAAAGATGGTACCACATTGATAGCCGTTGACAAGAAGACGAACGAATTGGCAGCAGTGGCATTTAACAAGCTTCACGCAAGTTTTTATTCAATTCCCACAGAAGCTCAGTAGCTTCTCTTCCAACTTTCAAACAATCAAGTTTCTCCAAAGTACTTTTCACCAAACGTTTTCTATCTCTTTGAAGGCTAAACCCAAGGAAGGTGCGAAAGATGAGCTAGAAACATTCATAGAAGAGAACCTGAGGCACCGAACGTGCAGAGAACTTATCAAGTTTCTCGATGACGTGAGTGTTCCCTGGTTATTGGCTGAATTGCCTCGTTTAGATCAAGTGTCGTCCCCAATTTGTTCAGTAATTGCGTTGCTAGTATCACAGAGTCTAATTAGAGGTTTGAAAGATATAGACGTATTTCTGAACTTGATGATGATCCATTTGTTAGATTACTGAAATAAATCCGTCTCTTGAACAATTAAAGGGACCTATTGCTTGAGTAATTAAAAGGGACCACCGTATCTGTCAATGGCAAAGATGGCGTTATTAAAAGCGTTTTCTCTTCAAATTTTCTCAAAGATATCGACAAATGTAAGATTAATCCTTACTTGGTCCAAAACAACAGGTTCAGAGCAAGGTGGATGTATTCGAGAGGTACAATGTAAACGGGGCGATGGAGCTGTTTTATCTTGGCACGAATCCACGGTACCAAGGCCGTGGAATCGGCCGCCAAATAGTAGAGAAGTGTATCGAGTTCGGTCGAGGGCTCTTGAACGGTACAATCAAGAGAACATCGATCGACGGTAGCATCCTAGAGCAGCACGTGCTCCCGGAGATAATTTACTGTGTGGTCGCCTCCAACTATAGCCAACGAATCGTAGATAAATTGGGTTTCCAGGTTCTGCACGAGGCCCGATACGACGACTATAGTTTTGGTGGCAAAAAAATGTCCGAAAGGATAGGAGATGTTCATAGGACAGCCAAGTTGCAGGTTCTGAAACTTTGAACAGAATGCATTCGACTATGATAGAGTTAAGTCTACAAAAACTGTAACATTTAAAATGGCTACTAAATAAATGATACTTATACTAATTATAGTTTTTTTTTGCAAATTATACTTTCAATACTATGAATTCGAACCAGTAGAAATATTTTTTACATTCTACGTGTCTGTTCCACATTCTGTTTCAGAATAAATAAAAATATTTTATCAGAGAATTTTCCTCTTTATCACAGAGTTTCAATAATATCACATACAGTTTTAATTTTCCAATATATGCGCCTGATAAAATATTCTTCATTAAATGAAGTTAATATTGAAATAGTTTTTGCGTGAAATTCAAATCACACTATTTTAACTAGTTTTCACTGGTATCTTTCAAAAGATGCTTTTCACCGGTGAGAGGATTTTCAAGGGGGGGAAAAAAGGAAGCAGCGACGGGCAGACTCAGTAGAAGAGCTCTTCAGGTGAATATCAAGCCGACAATGAAGAGATTCTATGTTATCTCGCGAATGTTTCACAGTTGGTGCATAATTAGCTTCGTTAGTCGGTCCGTGTTTTCAGTAACTTAATTGATCTTGTTATTCGAATGAGTGGACGATGAGTGACGAGATGATGAGTTCTATACGACTTTTTTTTATATAAGTATATATATGTATGTATGTATTAACACATTTACAATCCGGTACATAATTGTTGAATATAGTGAATATATTGAGCGTAATTATGAATCCAAACATCGACCATGGACATATAAATGTTTTCCTTCTTCTTCCTATCAAATTATCCTTGATGATCCTTTTCCTTTGTAAAATTTTCTCTCTTCAATATTATCGTTTTTAATGGAGAAACGTGCTACGTGCTACATTAAACGCAATTTCAATGTTAAATTAAAATTAAAGAAATGATGAATTAAAATTAAAACGTTGGGTCTATTAAAATATTATACAAGAATGTTATACAATTTTTAAGTCGAAATCGATAAAAGCACATTTCTCCATATTTTCGCAGGGATAAATTTATATTAATTTCATTGCATTCCATCGTCGAGATTTCGAATTTTCTCTTACTTAAAAGTTCCAACTTCCTGGCTGCAAAAAGAATTCTACAATTTAATTAAAAGATCCGAGTATTTTCATCAATCAAAACTGAAATCTTCCGTACTAAAGGAAATATTAAATCTTCTAATTTTTGATTATATAACAACTTAAACTCAAAAAATTCTTCCAAAAGGAGATAAAAAAAAAAAAAAAAAATTAGTGACAAATTTCTAAATAATGAATTCGTTTGGCAAACCGGAAGTCAAAGATTCTACTGTATTACAAGCTACGATTGGAAATATCATAGTTAACGTTATATATCCACGGGGAAGACACCCAGTATAAATATATATATATATATATATATATGTATACGTATGTATGTGTGTGTATATATATATAGATTATGTGTGTATATATATACATATATACGGCACTGCTGATCGCTGGTAAATAGTAATTTTTTTTTTCTTTTGTTAAATTTCGTAAAGCGTCTATCTGAAAGAGATGCGAAATACGCGTTTCTCGTTTCGCAATGTTTAGCATGTCGCGTGCTAATAATTTATAATTTACCATTATAATCAGTATCAGAACGCACTACGATCCTCTTATAAAAATATTCAACCACAACCAACCAGATAAATGCAACAATATTTATCTATTTTTCGAGTTTGCATCAGATGCAATCGCTTTTGTTTTTCTCTTTTATGCAACAGAAGTTTGAATATCTCTCCTTCGATCGTTATAGTCAGTTTTTTTCTTTTTTTTTATTCGTTTTGCTCAACACATTCGCCATTATAACATAATACAAACATAACTCATTTTTCCAGTTACCATTACAACAATAACAGTCCAATTTTCCCTAACTTGCTAAACCTAAAATTTTTTAAAACGAAAAATGAAACGATATTACTCATACGCTGCCTAATTTCACAAAAATTACAGTAACAAATGAAACGCCGAAATGTACTAATAAATGTAAAAAATATGTTTTTCATCTAAAGTAATACTCGTAATAACAGCGAATGCATTTACGAAAGGTCAACCCTTCAGGGTCAGCATTTGATAAAAAAATAAATTACTATCAGAAAGCCAGCGTTTGGATAATCTGTACACAGAATATATTTCCTTATTTCCCAACATTTGGCAATAACAACAAGCGCAATTGAACAACGATCTTAGTATCAGATAATTAGGGGAAGGCCCGAAAGGGTTGACCAGATCATTCACAATGAAGATAGTCATCATGAACACTCGAGCCACAACGAAAATGATTCGCTAAAAAATAAATTATTCAAACTCAATACTTTGTTATTTCCCCCCCAACTTCATTTTGGATTTTTATTTTATTTCTATTTTCTTTTTCTTTTTTTTCTTTTTTGTTTTTTAATAAAGTTCGTAAGTTTTCTCTAAGCGTAACCGCTCCGATTCAGCAAGTTTCTCGTTTCCATTTGTTGAATTTACTCTTACTTGCTGAACCGGAGTTCATTGCGTTTCCTCTTTAAAAAAGTTTAGAATCATTTTCTTTGTCTGTAACTCAGTTTCGTCGATTAAGAAAGCTACAAATTGAGAACAGGCTTCCTGCTTGTGTCTTTTTCGTTAATTGTATAGCACGATTTACTTCTTAATATATATGTACGTATATATGTATGATTAAATGTTGCGTCTATAGTGTAATAATATAATAGTAATACGTTCGTTTATTGTTTCTTACGTTTTCGTTTTTCATTATTGTAGCAGCTATGACAGAACTGCAGGAAGGATGGACATAAATGGTGATCATCCGTGGTTATCAGAAAATAGTTTTAGAGAAAATTATATTACCAAAAACGCAGTGATAAATTTCTAAGAGATAACTGGGAATAACAGTCTTTATTAAATAAAGTATAAAATATAAAGTACCCTAAAACTAAAAAAATAAACTATTGTAGATCACTTATGATTATACGTAGATCATCTGTGATTCAAAGATACCAATTGAAATCTAATCATACTATTCAGTATTTTATTCCCATTCAGTTACACCAACATGAACATTTTAATGAGATACTAATAGAATCAATGACATCAGAGACCATGTAAACTCCATGCTTCCTATAGTCCTAATACAATTACACTTGGAACGCTTATTATTGGTGTAAAAAAGTCATATGGACGTATATAGCTTCTGCAATAGAATATGATTGACATATTTCCAACAACGAATATTCCTCTTTCTCTTACATATCTACCGTCTCAACATCTGCCAACAACGAAACTACACTTAATTCGCAATACTTGCCTATGTGTATCTCTCACTATCTTCAGTACGGGTCTAATAAATGCTTATCAACTATCGATTTATACGAGTCGTTACAGTCGCTACAAGACTAGAAACTTGGTTTCTCATATATTTTGGCACGAATTTTATAATTCTCCTCTGAGCCACTTCCGAATACATCATCTTGTCTTTTTGATTTCGTGCGGACAGCGGTTTTTGATCAGTTTTTGGGACTGTGTGGACCAGTCCAGGGAGAAGGAGGAGCGGGATTGACAGTAATGGAGAAACGACTCACCCTAGTTCATCTAAGATCAAACACAGTGCATATTAAATAGCTGAATACTAAATACATAGAAAAACAAGATTCCCTTATGAAAGCTTAAAGTTAATAAAAGCCACCATAAGTAGACTTTGTGAAAAGTTTAAAAGTGCAAGAATTAATAGAATATATGTTACATGGAACATAATGATGTCTTTGCTCATATTTATAAAAGTAAGAATTTGCCACAAGACTTTGTTAACTAAGTACATGCAGAGTTGTCGGTTGGAAATATTTCTAAAATAATTGTTTGAGTTGCAGAACACATCTGTATAAATTACAAGTTCAAAATATACATAGATATATCTCCAAATATATAATGATTGACAAAAGAAAGTTTAGAATTAATAATTATGTATATGAATACTAGTGACTAGATGTTTCTTACCATGCTACTACAACGCTATTCTCATTCATTAGAATAATCAAGTACAATTGTACTATAGTTTTTTTAGTATTTATGGGAAATTTAAACAATGATGCATATAATGTGCAAAAAATATTGTTATAATATCAGTAAATGAAACAAAACTCTAATTATGTTTTGTTTTGTTTCGTAAAGTTAGTCTTTTCTAACTTAACTTTTAAACTTTCTTTTGTTCATCATTACACATCTGATGAAAATAAAAAATTTTAAATAATTATTCGGTACTTTAAATAAATAAATTCGGTACTTAATTTAATTTAAAATAATGGATCTATCTGATCTTTAGAAACACTCTACACACAGAATAGTAGTGGATAGTATGTGCAGTACAAAATTACCAACGCAGCAATAATCGAGGTAAATAATCAAAGTTGTTAAGAGCGTAGACAGAATTGTCTAAGCGAATGAATTTTGTAAAAATATAAAAAAGAATTCATAACAAATCGCGTAGATTAGTTACGAAGTGATTAAAAAGTCTGTCGAGCAGAAACTCGTCCCAGGCAAGTTTCTTCGACTAGTTCGAATTTGTTCGTGCGTTATTCACGTAGAATCGTGCTTCCACACATTCGCGTTTATACTCTATTTTTAATACTGAGAAATCAACACGTTCAACATTTTTTCTTCTTTCGTCTTTGGCAACTTATCTAGATACTCGTGTGTGCCTGAAGCGGAAATGGAGAATCACAGAATCGCGGGAAACCGGGAATTGCTTTGCTATCGGACATAATGCGTAAAATGTAATGTTCCAATAAATTTTTTGAAATCGAAATCCTGTAAATTTTTCTATCCAAAAGTGCGTAAGCTTGAAGACTTAACCGCGCCATTTTCTCTTCTTGTACATCCATTAAACTTGTGCTTATCCGTCAAATGGCTATAGTCCGAATACGGAGTTTTAGGAACATTTTAGAATCCATGTTTGCTTAAAATTTTTAAAATTTGCTTCAGAAATCTGTAAGTACGGAGACCGAACTTCTCCATTCTTCAATAGTTCTGCAATAATTCTGCAGAGACGTTAGATTTCCATTTTTAGTTGCTAAATCCGTGAAGTATGGCAACCGATAGCAGAGAAACCTAACATCTAAGCATGTCCGTCACGACAATATGCAACTTTCAATCCAGTGCACGCTAATTATACTTTATCGTTTTTATAAAATATTTTCTGTATTACTGTTTCTTCCTTCCTGACACATTCACTCACACATACATTCTCAACACGTGTAATTCGAACGTTCTCTGTTTTCGAAAATATTAAATACTCTCGTTATCAAAATAAAATATAAATTGGCAATAACGTTGTGTAGCTAGACGGATGTTCTCGCTAGCAAATTACATAGGAAACATTGATCGCTTCTCTCCTTCCTCCTCCTCTCGCTTTCTCTTTCAGTTTTGTAGTTTCTTTTCTATTTCGTGTACGTGAGACAATCGATATTATCATTTTCCTCCACGTTACCTCTTTTATCACAACTATGTATAGAATGCTTTACTCCAGCTCTGGAAAGGGCGTTCCTTCGACTAGAGGCAGCAAAAATCAGTTTTCAGCATCAACAGTACTTGTGGGTCTCTGTATTTAGCTTACTGAAATTGGTACGGCACAATTCTGTTCCAAAATTGAATATGGTTTGAAGGTATTTAATAGATTGCTACTTCTAGTCGATTCCAGAGCTCTCGTTACACGTGTTCTTGTATATGCTTCTCTCCGTGTATCTTCTTTTTTTTTCTTTTTATCCCTACGTTTTTTAATTTCTATAAAATATTGACGTTAGATTTCTTTTTTTTTTTTGTTATACGTTTAAACAAAAATTTGTAGAACAATTGTTATGGATCTTTTATGCTGTAGATGTTAAGTACAAAGACTCCAGTTAGTTTCCTGAAAGATGTTCATCTTTGAGAAGGTTCACATTGTACGTCTGGTGATTGCATAGTCAAGTAGCAGGGCTGAGTGTCGCGGAAGTGCGATCTGATGAGGAGACCCAGGCCTAGAAGGACCACGGGAAGACCTAGTAGTGCGCAGATCAGTTCTCCCGTTACTCCGGGGGACCATGTAATGAAACCTGTTTAAATACTTCAATTGAGAATTCTGAAGCAAGTCTAGATTTCTGAAGTGCAAGTAGAGCTGAGTGCAAGGTAACAAGCCGTCTAAGTGTTAGGATAGATTTTGACTTGGATCTAGATTATAGATGAAATGAATTTTAGAGAAATAATGTGTTAACAAATTAGAATTTTAGAAAGAATGATTAATAATTCGTTTAAATCGAGAAAAAAGGAAAGAAGATCCGAATTTGATTTATAAATTACGCGAAATATTGGATCCTCTATAATTTCAGACTTCAAAATAGATAGTAATTTTCTAATGATCATTTAGGTTTCTCTTATTTAGGTTTTTCTCATAACTGTTAACTATTAAAATTTAAAGGTTTAAAACTTTGTTGACTCACCACCGTGAATGTCCATTTTGTAAATGCTCCACCAGATTCCGGACAACGGAAGAGACACAGTGGCGGCAGCAACGGTGAAGACAGCGCTCTCACTTATAGACAGGAAGTTCAACACAGAGATCGCAAAGGTACTGTATGCTATCAAGAAGATCCAGCCATGAGTAGAAATATTTGAGCAGTTTTCGGTGTTCTTGAAGTGACATGTGAGCCCGTGCTCTATTGTACGGTATAGTTCCACTGGAGACAAACCCTGAACAGACAAAGAATCACATTGACCTATATGGTAGAATTCCATTTATTGAGACGAGTCTTGTCTATAGAATTCAGTTATTAATTGACAGAATCATACTCATTTTATTAGTTTTTTTTTGCAAATAAAACGCTCAAATTCCCAATACAACTTGATAAATGAAGTTCCACTTTTATTATATAAATTGGTATAAATTTTATTATATAAATTGCTTACTCTGCCTATTCCTGGCAACGTGTCGATCCAGGACATGGATAAAATGGCAAAGAAAGCGATTAAGTGAATGTAGAAGAGAGTTTCAAGGATTGGAGGTTTTGGAATATGTTTTGGTTTTATGGTCGGATCAGGATCTGTCACGTGGAGTAGTCTGCCTCCTTCTTCCTCAGAACCTCGTCGACGGATGTCTCGCGAAGACACCAATCTCGACACCGTGTAGAGAAAAGAGTTCTGTTGGCTCGCCATTATTTGACACATGTTTTGTTGCTGGAACATAAGAAAATTTGTCTCCTTTCTAGAATTGGTATGACAAAAAAATATTAAATACCTTGATAAAATCTTTTTATTTATATATATTTATATTTTAATGACGACCATCAAGTCAATTTTCATTTTTTATTATTACTAACATTATTACTAATTACTTTAAACAGTATACACAGAAACGAAAATCACCGTATAAAAGAATAATGGAAACTCTGTACAGAATATTTTCATGAAAAATTCACACGGTATTCAAAGATTTCATTATACACGCGGCTCAACGCACAAGTAACACGGTACAAAGCATTCTTCCGGATTAATTATTCAGCTCTCACCTCAGTGGTATAATGGCCTTCTAGCAGAGTGAAGAACATAGCGAAAGCAGCCAGGGAACCGACATAAACGAACGTCCAAATAGCCTTCACGCCCCAAGATCCTCTCACATGAGCCGAAACATCTCGCCCTCTGCATCGAAACTCGTCACACAGGCCATAGTCCACGCTTATGAAGAGACCAACAATTATCGTAGTGCTGGAGAAGATCCTCTGCAAGCTCATCACTGTAGCAAACACGGTTATTTCTCATTTGATTCCTTTCTCTTTTTTTTGTTACAAGAGAGTGACGAAAATTAGGAAGCTCACTTTTACGACAGAAGAAGAAATAGTAGACCAGAGAAAAGACCAAAGTGATGCCTTTTATGGGATCCTGCAAGTGACATAGGACTCTGTCCCGGTCCAAGGAGAGAGTGATTACTATTCCAGACAGAGCATAAATAAGACTGATCTTGAGCAGAGCACAACGAGGGATCTTGATCCGCATGCTGTTCGGGATCAGGGCTGGTGGTGGAGACACTCTTCCCGCGACGAAGCATATTACGCCCAGAATGAAGGCAGAGCAGAAGGCAGTGAAGAGAAGTCCTGAATAGGGGAAGAAGACAAGTCTGAATTAGAACAGGCATTGACTAATACCTCAGTACTCAGTATTGTACTATTTTTTTTGTAAATTCATTGAATGTCTCAATAATTGGCAAGATGAAAGAGTGATGAATGACCAACAGTACAAACAAATTCCTACTTTTAATAAATACACGAAACGTGTAATTTGAAAAAAACGAACATGCTGAAACAACAGAGGGGAGAAAATCGCCCACGAGGAGGGAGCTAGAATTAGCATTATCCAGTCGTTTGCTAGATACCTGTGTAAGCGTTGGACACGTAGCTGACGCTCTCGAGATAAAGGGGATAGGTGATAATCAAACAGGTAATGGACACGACGACGGTCAGAAGGTTGGCGATGAAGCTGAATTTTTGCCAGGTCGCCCTATCCGTATCGAACAGCTTATCGGTGGCCTGATAAGCGACATATGGCGAGTCCTCGGTGTCGGTGTACTCCTCGATCTCCACGTCGCTTCCTGTACACCGAAGCTCCTCCTGTTCCTCATCGTCGACCATCGTCGAGACGCAACCTGCCAGGCCTGCCAGTTTTGCGGTTTATTTTCTTCACCTATTTTGGAAAATACAGTTGAAAAATATCATTATTAGCATTATTATATATAGTCCTACCAGTTGGTAGGATCATATGTTGGTCACTCTTTACTGATTATTTATTTTAAGAGCAGAGTAACACAGAATTATAGGCAAGTTAGCCTGTAATACCTCTATATCACTACCAGAAGAAAAATCACGACGTGGAATTGGCAATTTCGAGGAATGTGTTTCTTAAAATCTTGATACACATTAAGCAACGGTTTTTCTTTTTCTGCACGCACACAGTATAGTATAGCGGCTCACGCGAAACGATCCAGTCGAGAGTTCAGGTCGATTTGTTTTTTATCCTTCAGCCCTTGCTGCTACGGTGCACGATAAACGAGCACGTTGCATGCACGCGCAGGGTTCTACCTATGCGCACTTTTCATCGTGCGGAGATTAGATAACCAGCCTCTCCCTTTCCACCCGTTATCGGTTCACCAGAATCGGCGAATTTCGTGTCCGGCTCTCACCTACGCGGAAATCTTTGCGCGAACAGAGGCGTTGGTTGGAAAGTAACGAGCCTGGGCAATTTAAATTCCTTCTTTCTTCAACCGGCGACAAACGCCAGAAGAATTCAAACTCGTGGAACGAAAAAAATGAAGAACACAAGGGGGTTTTTCACGCAGAGTAGATTTTTGGAAAATTAATTATTAATTTAAATATTTTATTTTAAATGTATTAATTACTAATTTTTGAAATATTAAATATTTCCAGTTGCCCATTTTTATATTCTGTCAATTGGTATATCTATACCAATATTTTATTTTTCTAATAACCGACGTATTTTCTACTTCTACGTGACAGTGTTTTGATCTACAATATTAAGATAACAACCGAGAACTCGTGTTTGTTTGAAAAAAGAAAAAAAAAAGGTATTAAATTTCTGTGAAAAATGACAAATTTTCTAGCAGTTCTCGCGTAATTTTTTCGTTCGATAAAAAATATCAAAATTGTCAGATTAACGAAAAGAAGGACTGAGAATTGGACCGAGTGAAACTTCAAGACGAGTATCAAATTGACTTTAATCTTCGGCTCGAAGTTTAATAAAACACGGTAAATGAATTTTAGAGAGCGGAGATGTGCCTTTTCTTCTATTAAAGAATATATTTGCATTTGCTGTTTTTTCCGTGCGTTTCGGAGAAGCGTTGGTAAAACTTTTGGAATTAATGAAAGCCCTCCCCCGGAGGGGATGATTATTTATTTCAGAAAATATTTAATTGCACGTTTCTGTGTATGTGTGCAAGCGTCCGAATTTAATTAAAACTGATATATCTAGATCGATTAGGTCAAAAGAGTTTCTGCAATTAAGAACGTAAATAAAGTGTGTCGTTTTCAATTTAGAAAACGTTACATTTACGCGAAAGCTTTTATTACACATACACCACTCGCTGAAAGCACGTTCTGTGTATGAAATGCAATTTATTTCCTCGACTAGAGTATTTCACTGGTACTTTCTTTTATTAACACAATTTTTGTAATTTTCAATAATGTTTTGTTACGGCAATAACGAAATATTAAATCGACAAGTGTGAGATACAAACGCGGGAAAGACGTGTTCATACTTTTGGTCGGTGTTGTATGTAAAAAAATTCTGTTGCCTCTGTTTCTGTGAAAGCCCCGGTTTTTAAAGGTTTTCAGAGTGGATGAATTTCATTAAAAAATCTGTTGTAGCTCGTGCAATTTCGCAATTTCTGTCGCGAGTAATTGGAACACTTATCGCTGGTCAAAAAATAATGTTTTTCTTTCATCTAAAAGGGATGAAAAAAAGAAGAAGAAAAAAAAAGAACGAAAATAACAATGAGCAAGACATTTATAATTATTCAAGCGATTTTTTTTTATAAATATCTATAAATTTTTGTGAACAGCTGTTAATCGATTTGGTAACATTTAAATAATTTTCAATAATGTAGCGTTTAAATCTACCGAGAGAAAAATTATTAAACTCAGTTTGAATAATGTTCAACTTAGGTCCAAGAGTGCAAATAATCTTCAACTTTGTACCTAGTAATTTTACAGACACATTATTAGTACGTTTTACAATACCACTTTCCCCGGTTTGATGATATTTCAATTAATGTTTAATTCAATTTCACTGGCATCGACACTTTTCTGCTACACAAGTGTGAACAAAAATTTCGCCGACATCAACAAAGCATAATAATAATAGAAACTGATTAATTTCGCTCTGGCGGAAATCAGAGTCCCCCCCGGGATCGCGTGATCAAACAAACCGTGAAATCCTTTGGGAAATAGATTCCTTTTGCCATTCGACCGGCAGATATGACAAAGCAAATTCCGTTCCGCAATGATGCAGTTAACAGTTCGATACTTGTCGGCATGAAAATAATATCAGTATCAGCGATAAACGCGAGGGCCATTTCCACGAGTTGCGTATCTTACTCACTGCAATCGACAGAAGTACCTACACATTGGCGAATTATTTTTGCAAATACTCGAATAACTGAAGGGGTTGACCAACAATTGAAATATGAAAACTTATATCAGTGAAATTCGGACACGGGTAAAAGAAGAAGTTTAAGATTCGTGTCCGAATGTGTGAGATTTCTACGAATTAAGATTATTATCAAGTAGCTATTGATCTACCTTAATTGGCTAAATAAATTTGATGGACAGTGAAAAATGTCCCGAGACTTTTAGACGAGAGTGTACGCAGCGAATATACACGTATGTGTGCTATGTTTTTCCCTGGAAAGCGCAGCGAACAAGCACGGAATAACTGAAGGAAAAAATTCGTGTGTAAGCGTATTCCAAATCGGGCCAGCGGCGAATGCACATAAGCCTCGCGTGCACGCGTTCGACGATATAATAGATAAAAGTTAATCGATCTCTCGTGAAAAGCGATCGCCGTTAAAAAGCCACTCGGGCTGGCCGTGCTGAGAAATCCAGGCTAAAAACAGAGACAGCACGAAATCGTGTTCGTTCGTGTATATATATATATATATATATATACACACACAAATATTAGTATATTACTTTACATATATATATATAAATTAATATATAATATTACTTAATATATATAATATAAATAATATAAATATAATATAATATAAATAATATATATAATATTTAAATTAATGTATAATATTACTTAATATATATAATATAAATATATATAATATATAATATTACTATGTATATAATACGTATTTTCCAACATTTACATTGCACAACTCTTCAACAATATTTTACTATAACACAATGCATAATTATACAATTTATATAAAAGTCTAATGGAAAAATCTCTGATGCACGCGCCCGAAAAATAAATTGTTCTGCTTGCAACTGAATATATCACATGTGTACAAAATTTTCAAATTATGAAATTTAAACTTAACCCAGTGTTTCTTACGTTTGTATTATTGCATGACTTTCATGAAACGTAACACACTGCGTGACACATCAACATCCAATCTCTCATTTCTCATCGGTTTCTGTTTTTTCAAGAAAGAAATAGCCGAGATACGGTTAAACGTTGTGAAATAGTGGCACAGAGTGGCAAATGGTAGGAAAAAAAGGCGACATTTAAGGACGGAACAAAAGAATCTAATTACTGGCAACTTAACTCGTCACAAGTGGCCCGAGACAGAGCCGTAACTCGTGCCTCTGAAAACAATAGGATAAAGCGCGACTGGACCAAGCTTTCTTCCAGAGTTTAACCTATTTTTTCTTGTTTCGCCGCTGAAACACGACACAACAGGAGCAAAACCATTCAATAAACTTAAAAAAATAATATTATACTTTGAGACTTTTTCCTAAAATGTTTTCCACTTAACAATCGCTTAGTCGATAACGCAGTTCGTCAAACAATTTCCCTCTATTTTCTAAGTTTGTCAAACATCTACTTTTTTTTAACAACAAAAGCGAAGAACTAAAATTTATAATATATATTTATTTAAATTTAATATTTCTCATTGTAATATAGTAATATGATTTACTTACATTACTTCAATTACATTATAATATAGTAATATAGTAATATATTCATTTTTCAGTGAAATATTTTTAATAGCTTCGTCTAATTAAAAGAACACGAATGCATAACGACTGGTATTTAATCAGGCTCGCTGAAGTTTAATTAGATATCATTCTTTTTTTTTCACGGGGCGGGAAAATGAAAAACGAGAGATTTCAAAATCAAGACTCGATCGGTAAAATAGACGTTGATGTTTCGAATTAACAAACATTAGGCAACGGAAGTGCGAATCACAGAGATTCTCTCTCTCTCTCTCTCTCTCTCTTTCACCGGAATGAGACACTTTAGAGAGAACATCAAGTGTACTCGAGGGATTATATCTAGGTGTATCCTTGTCCAGTGCCAAGATCGAGAAACTTTTCCGTAATGCAGGAAGAAACTTCTGTCCGAACCTTCACACAATTTACACAACTTTCCTGCCACCAAACAAACTGCCGTACAAACCGTTATCTCGCCCCTCTTCCTTTCTTCTTTTACTTTTTTTTTCTTCTTTCTAGATTCATATTGAAATTTATTGGGAAATAAATTGGAACGAAATTTTCAATCAACAAATCTATCGAAAAATATTGGGAAATATATAAATGGGATATTAATTCGCAAATTTATCGAAAGGCAAATGGACCGAAATTTTAATTTATCGAGAGGTAATTTCAATACATCCGGAAAAATACGTTCGAGGAAAGATTAATAAAAAAAAATATTCGAATTTATTTAACATTGAAATTTATTTTACTCGCCGACCAATTGGAAATTGTTATTGCCTAATCGTTTATTGTATCTCTAGGTAAAGACGCGTCGGAATGCGTGTGTTTGCAATTAATATTTGTTCATTCATATAAAATCAATGATACTTGTTTATTTAAAAACTTCAGCGAGTGAAAAAAACTCGAACGCAAAAACGTAATATAAACCAGTGTTCGACTTTCGAAAGTGGACAGACGACAGAGACGATTCGAGTACTTTAATTACACGGTTATTTCCTGCGAACAGTCGCGCAGCTCGAGACGACAAAGAATGCCAATAAGCTGCACGTCCATGGCCAATATCCGATATACAAACTGCCGCCGCGTCTAACCTAACAACATAATTTCGATAAGAGATCGAAAAACCGATAAACCCAGAGAGCCACACGGCGTGGCACTGTTCCGCCGCTGTAATAAAACACGAGCCAGTTTCTCATCGCCTGTCAGATACTACACGCTCAAAAATCTCAACGAAATCTCGTTCGAGGCTATAGGTTAGAATTCTTCGTAGTATTTCGTCGTAGTACAGGGAGTTGCCAATCTGATCGCGATGGCGATGAGGCGTAAAGGAGAAAAAGAAGTTTCACGAGATAATGGCTTGTCAACGAACCCTATATATGCTATACTCGCTACTGCGACTTACCCTCGAAACCTAACCTGACACCGCCCAGTGTCACACACTCGCTGAAACCGCTTCGAATCCTCCGGGGGGCTGTCCTGTTCCTGTGGACGCCGTATCTCCACGCCAAGGATTCACATCCGCGAAACGACGGTGAACTTAGGTGAACACGACGACGATGGGTTTCACAAGTGCCGCGAACCGCACGAAAATCCAGAAAATACCACGACTTCGTCCCATCGTGAGACGAGAACTGACTTCGATGCGGGCTCCGTTCGCTGGCGCGCAGTACTGTCGCTAGGCGCCCGGAAACCACCGCCCTCTGTATCCAAAAAGATCGTCGTCCACGATTTTGTTTCAATTCAAATTCTGGCCTTTCCACGTGACGCGTTGAAAATTTAATACTGTTCGACTCCTTCGAAATTCGGCTTCTTATCGAAGATGAAATTCCATGCTTTATATCTCGGATTTTCGGTATTTCGCCACTAGATTACCAGGATATCCAATAGACTGTAGTATAACAGACAGAACATAAAAATAGTACAAGAAATAATGAATATAAAACATAATAATAAATATAAAAAGTTTTTAATACGTCAGATATCTGTCCTGTGTTTCACGAGATTGGAGGATTATTTCGCATTATCTTTTATCTGTGAAAAAATAAGTATGCATATGTTTAAATTACTTGATAATGACTATTAATGGGATTAAAAATCTGAAATTTCTGACAAAAATCCGACGTTCGTTACTTCTTTTTTCATCGAGATATATTATTCGACATTTTCATAGTTGCAGAACAGAAGTTTATAAACTGCGTTCATTTTCCACTGGTGTTATATATAAGATTTATATTAAACAAACACAAATTTCTCTCTTCCAACCTCATTAAATATTGAAATTTGTTGAAAGTAGCTCCCATTTTACTGTATATGTAAAACTTCGTGGTAACGTCCGTGTTCTCAAATATTTAAACATTCAGGTGTACAATGGTTCACCATGGGAGAGAACGTTCCTGGAACCGCGCACGCGCAGTGATTGTAATTGTAACTCGGGGGATGTGTGTTTTCGCTCTCTGTCGAATTAATCGTGAAAATTACGAATAGCGTATGAATTGTTAACCGGAGCTTGACGAATGTCGTCAAAAAAATCCGTAGTTTGGCTATTTCTTTTGTTACCAGGTACCATTTTTCATATGCGTCTCAACGTCGTCAAAAAACGAGAAATCAACGAAATCTTATCAGCTAATAAATGACAAATTAACTGATAAAGTATTTCTTTATATCTCGCGGATATTTATCATAATTCATAAGAAAGTTGATGATCTCGGATTCGTTCGAAATTTCGATCTTTAATCTTACTGATCTTTGTAAGGTGGTGTTTAATTCAATACTTCGCAAGTTGTATCATAAAATTCTCAGGTTTAAAACCATTGTCTTCAAATTTTTAGATCTTACTTACGATCACGTAAATTCTCACCGAATTTCAGGGTGCAAAAATGGTACACGAATGTGCAGCAATTTCTCAGCGACTTTCCCGTCAAAACTCAGACGCGACTTGGATCGACTTCGACAAGTGCCTTTAAAATTTCATTCGGCAGCTAGACACACAACGGAAGTTGAAACAGTATTCCCACGGCGATCAAAGGGGCGCGGGCGATAATGCCGATTGTGGAGTTCGCCAATTGCGGAGAGACGCTCAAAGTTTCGCCCGTGAAACCGTGAGAAAGCCAATTCCCGGCTACTGGATGCTCGCATTTCAATGAAACCCGGGGCTGAATTATGAACAACTTTCTGACACGTTCGGCTTCAATGTTCTCACTTCCCGGCCACTCCGTCTTGAAACTTTGACACTCGAAGCTAAACTCGCTTCTTCGCCGGTTCTCATCGGCAGAGTAAATTATTTTTACTAAGAGAAATTCCTGGCCTGATCTGAATCTGCAATTTTCAAGGAACCTAACGTCGCTCTGCTCTCAGGGAATAGCGATAATTTTTATCAAAAAGATTTCCTGCAAGTCGATTCGATTCTCTAGTAACTCTGGAACGAGCTGACGTTTTCAAAGACCAAAAAAACGAAGGAGTACGTTTACAAACGTCTAATCCGCGATTAGACGAGACTCGAGGGCTAAAGAACCGCGAAGGCGTATGAAATTGGAGCGTAGTAATCAGAAATGGGGCGTTCATTGAATTCGACCAGCAAAGGGGAAAGAGTGACAAGGAGGACAACACATATTGTGAACCGAACCCTGAGAGGAATCGATAAGAACTGGGTTAATACGATCAGCTAAACCAGCAGACTTCTTTAACCTGGCTATTATATTTAGAATCAGCTCTATGGCCAGATGTAGTATGAAGAGTCCCCATAGGACATTGCATTTTCGTTCGTTCCCTTTGGCCTGAATTGCTTCTATTTTTTTCTTTTGCACTGATTGTTCTTCGGTAACATCTCCGGATCCGTTTATATCATTCTTAACCTCTTGCGTTGGAATGACGTGCTATGCACGTCGAGAATTTTTTGTTCCAAAATTGCAATATTTTCTCAGTTTTAAGTATATTTAAGTACAACCCAGGCAAAATAATAAATTTATTACTTTTCTATCCGGTGATATCGTACCGACGAGTTCGAAAACAAAGCGACGAATTATTATTTGGTCACTGGTTATGGTCCGCAATCAGTTGCCAACGCAAGTGGTTGAAGCTTTCTTTCAGCTCCGTCTGAACATTCAAGAATTATGTAGGGCACAGTTACGAAGCAAAAGTAAAACTGGGAAGCAAAATATTCATAATCCACCGTGAAAATCCAAAACTAACTTCATCCACATATACATACCAAGATGGCCAGCGTTGCAACCAATCTCCCCTAATCCTCTAAATAAATCCAGTCTGTGAACCGCGTTTCCCCCGGTTTCAACGTCGCTCGCAAATCCAAAGTGCAAGTCCCTCGGTCCCGCTGAACTCTCCGCCAGCCTGACCTCTATCTCGCAGGAAACAATCGTTTCCACTTAGTTAATCGGCGTCAGCCTGTGGCAGTTCCGCGGCGGCACCAAGACGGACGGGTTAATCTTCTTAGTCCGGGGGGTTGCGTGTCTCTCCGCGCTCAGGGCTGTAGACCGTGGGACGCACCTCGAGCCTTGCGCACAGCACGCGTGCTACAAGTCGCGCGGAAGCCGCGCCGGAAGGTTCAGTCTGCGCGCGACAGTTGCCGGAGACGCGTCGCGTCCCTTTCGTCCACAAGGTGTATAGCAACTCGCCGCCACTCCACGAGGGACACTTGAGGCTCGAAGAAACCACTCTTCGTCGTAGTTTCGTGATCGAAGTATGGGTCACCGTGAGACAATTCTAGCGGACCAATCAAGTGGTCGTTCAATTCTCGGGTTTCTCGAGCTTCCTCCTGAAAGAAACAAACCGTCTCAATAAAAAAAAAAAAAAAAAATACTGATCCAAAGAGGCGTTAGGAACTGAATGAAAGATTATACCTGTGTGTTTTGAAAAATCCACCGAGTGAATAATTCATAGTATAGTGACTGGTTGAGAAGGAAGCTTCTGGCCTCGCAATCACGAACGATCCGGCCGATCCGCCATGGAAGATCCCACGATCCAAAGTGACGAACTTATTCCCGCGAGGAACACGAACAACTTCCACTCTCTTCAAGTCGCTCGTCTTCAAGATTCCTGAAACACATTCAACGGATTAACTGTTCGAACGGATTAACGAATTTTGTTCCTTTCGACGAGGATCGCTGAGAAATCGAAATCGGACTGAATATTCGGATCAGACTGTTATCCAAGCTGTGGAGGCAGCTGGTAGCAGCAAATGTCGAGAAGCCTTGACGTTTAAGGCTCGTTTAACGCCTAATTGCCAAGCTGCCGCGTGCAATTGGTCCCTTTGTTCCTCTGTCAGAGTGATCGCGAGTGATTCACATTCCTCGTCCAGATCATCGCTTTCTTCATTGAGTGAACTTCCCGTGTCTGCCTCTATGGTCCCGTCATTCCACTCTACTGAATGTACGTTGTTTCTTCTGCTGGACCCCGAGATGGTCTCTCGTAGCAAGCTTCGCAGAAACTCTCCAGAGTTTCGACTCTTGTCGCGCGAAATCGCAGTGGAACGTTTCGACGAGTCAGACTCTAGCTCCTGATCACCTGGAATTGTCGATTCTTTGAGTTGTCCGGCTCGGAAGAGAATCTTCGAGAGAGGGTGAGACGCGAGTCTGAGTGTTCGGGACAGTTTCGCGAGGATTCGTTTGCGGGTTCGCGCGGAGAAAGTGATGCGGCTGGGAAAGAGCGTGAAAGATCGGATGGATCCCCGTGGAAGATTGATCAGACAGCCTGATAAAGCCAGCGGAGGAGCGATCGCCGTGAAAGGGGCTTAAGAACGCTGGGAATGAGAAACGTGTCAAGACCGAGCATCGAGCGAAGGTAAGAATGCTCGAGTTTTATCGTCGATTAGCGTGACGACTCGTTAATCGTCCTTCGCTGGGGCACCGATTCGCTCCGATCGACGACTACGAAGGCAAATCGATCTTTCTCACTGGAAAATTCATCGAACTTCCTCTCTCTAAGTAATGTTGAAAGTTTCCGATGTTGGTAAAATTCCATCATATAAGAAAATTATAAAAGAAACTAAGAGATCGCGCCTACAAATTTAGTTGACTTTTGACTTTTTGGTCTTCAAAATTGCAATATTTTCTCAGTTTTAAACATATTTAAGTATACAACCCAGGCAAAATAAATAATAAGTTTATTAATTCTCGATAATTTCTATCCAGTGACATCGTACCGGCAAAGAAAATTCAAGAAAAAAAGCGAGGAATTGTTGTGTACGGCTCGGTCACTCGTTATGGTCCGCGAACCAGTTGCCACCGCAAGAATTGGCTCGTCGATCTTGAAGTTGATATTAAAACATTCCTCAAAATTGGAGAGAAGAAGAAGTACGTTAAAAATTGACGGACGAGAATTTACATTAGTTGGGGACAGTGTCGACTATATTGATTGGAAAATTATTCAGATTGGCGAAGTTAGAAATTTATTTTACGTTCCTTGTGTGGTAGTACGTAATCACGTCCGGTTGCATTCGACCGTTGCTCGTCGTTTCTTCGATTTTTAGACAATTTACGCGAATCTTCAGTCTTCCATCTAATTCCTTAAAATAAATTTCAATTTTAATTTTAGATCAATTCTTTCCAAACAATTTCTTTCTCAGCTTAAACGATAATTTTGAACTTGAGTAATTAAATCCGTCGGATCGTAGTTTTTTCTTTCTCTCACATCGTCAAAAATTAATATTGATTTCCACTTAACATTCGGACAAAGACTATTCGTTTTAATTAATGCCCTACGAAATGTCAATAGAATATTACGGGCAGATAATTCTAGCATTCAAGTATGGAGGACAATCTACCCTAGAGAATATCAGCTTCGTTCTATCGAGTTTCGACCGATGTTCTAACCCCATCGCGATTATGCCACCGTTTCAATTTACCCTGTCAAAGTTAGGTATCGTCGCGAGGGAAAAGGCCTGTATCCACTGCAATTGGCAGTCGGTTTATACGCGTCTACGATTAATAATGCCGCGAATAAGCAGTGGTAGAACGCGTGTGCCACCGTCCTATTATCATCGTTTGATCGACAGCCGTTTAATAATGTCCCTTTCACTCCCCTAATTGGTCGATGCTCATTAAATCCGAGACTCTGTGGTCAAACATAAATACACGCCTGATCCGAAGGAAATAAGATATCTTCAATGCATGCACGCTGTGTATAACGAGATCGTTTGTAACCGGAGGATAACAATGCTCACGAATAAAACAGGCATGGATGTTGGTTGTTAAAGATACAGCGTCGTTAAAAAGTATTTGCATGTAATTTTTTGTTTTTTGTTAGATAGGGTGAATGTATTTTGGAGCACCTAGTGTATTTCAAGTAATAAAAATTGAATGGCAAAAAAAAAAAAAAAAAAAAAAAATTGGATCTTATATGATCGTACAAATATCTTTTATTTAATCACAAATTATTTGCAAATTACAATTATCTTTGAAAAAGGAATGTAATGAGACAACAAGAAAATGACGAAACTTTTTGGAAAAAATTGTTTGGCTCACGGGGAAAATAAAACTTTCTGGAAGTATGTAAATATCCGGTTTTATTTTTGAGTAAAATCTATTAAAAGACGTACAAAATGCAATAAAGTTGTAAAATTTACTCCGTCCTTATGGTATTAAATTTTTGTCATTACAAGCAAATGATAGGAAATTTGAAATAATATTGTTTAATATATATTATATATATATAATATAATAAAATTTATAAATTTTATATATATTTTTAATATATAATAAATTTTATATATATTTTTAATATATAATAAATTTTATATATATTTATTGTTTTTGTGTTATTGGAATTTTTAAAAAATAATTTTTCTACTGTTGGAAAATTTCTCTATTATTGGGGAATATTCTTCTCAATTATTTGTCGCTGGAAAATTTTTTTCTTAATAAACAGTTGTTGAAAAACGTTTTCCTAATCTTATTGCTGAAAACTCTTCTTCCTAATTTTCTAAGTATACCTTTTTATATTCTTTTTTGGAAACTACATAGTTGCTAATTTTGTCAATGAATTGAAAATACTTTTTTCTTTCTTTCACTTTCAATATTCCTAAATATTTTTGTTTTTAAGTCCTACAATTTTAGGAGAAACTGCTCCTCCTAATTTTCTCGCTCGTAGAAATTTTCTTGCAATTTGGAAAACGTACTGTACATATAAAGAATATTGATATTAAAAATATCGAGTATTAAAAATAAAACGTGCCCTAAGATATTTGAGCGGGGGTGTATTTCGAGAATACTTAATTCCCTTAGCTATTAGCTTGTGTGGCAAATCTGAGGACACGTCACGATAATTAATGGGCCTCTGTTAATCGTGTAGACCTGGTCTCTGTCAACTTTCCTACAATAAATCTTACATATCTATTATTACATATTGACGTAACCCTGCTATAATTTCTTTATTTTCTGAGAAATTTCTTACTTTTAATGACAAAAATATGAAATTCTCTTACTTTTACATTTCTTTTTTAAAGATAACTGTAATTTGCAAATAATTTGTGATTAAATAAAAGATATTTGTATGAGATATATTATATATATTAAACAATATTATTTTAAGATATTCGTATGAGATATATATATATATATATATATATATATATATATATATATATTTGATTAACAAAAAAAGAAAAAAAAACAAGGACAGACTCGCTCGTCAAAAAATATTTCAAACATGTTTCAACAAACATTTCTCGATGTACCTAGCAATGTACAATTTCTCATCCACGACACTCGTCGAATATTTATTCTTCCGTGTTGTAAAAATTCTCCTGTAAAAATGCCTGTGTGCGGTCGCTACACGTATATCGATTGATTCGATTAGAGATAATCTCGCAGCTTGTAATTCTTTCATGGCCGATAATATCCGCGAGTGGAAACCGAGTGAATATTAAATTTTCGTTGCAAATGTTACATCGACGATAAGTTATCGATACCTTGTCACGGTAAATTATTGAAAGAAAAAAAGAAAAAAAAAGAATTATTGAAAGGGAGCAAGATTGTAACGGCGTCAATGCGTCAAAAAGAAAATAAAAGAGATTCAGGTTTGTGAAACGTTTAATTCTGCATTCTCCAGAAATTAGGTCCCCTCTTTCTAGCTTTAAAGAATCATCTGACGATCGAACAGGTTTTCCTTCATTTTTTTTTAACGTATTCTCTTTGCACACGGTCACATCTACATGCAAATATGTACTGTTGCGTAGTACTGTATGCGACTGTTTGCGTAGCTAGCTGAATTAACGTTTATTCAAAATTCAGCGCGCGTGACGATTTCGACAGAAACAACGAAATGAACATTTCATTCTTAATTAATAAGTGTCGCAATTTTATTGTTACGTGCAACTATGAACGAAATTTGGAAATGAACGGAGTCGAAACATCACGTCTGCGTGTGAAAGAGTGTAGAGTACCTCGTTCCCGAGGAAATGAAATACGGAGAACTAGTCGTGTAATTTAATTAAATACAAGAGTCATCATGGCCATCAAACCAACGTGTTAAATAATTAAATAATTAATAAATAATTAAGACTGAAAAATTTCTTCGTTTCTCGTTTAATTTTGCACCGTGTGGAATAACCACGTACTTAACAGCTAACTGCTTGCTAAGCTAATTGATCAAGCTCAAAAACGTATCAAACAATTAAAAAATTAAAGAATTAAAAAATCCGATCTTATCAAAAACCAATTGCCAGCAGCAGGATGTTCCTGAACTCTCCTCTCTTCCAGCCATTATCTTGCCCTCTCTCATTCGTCATGCTGTCTTCTTCTCTATGCGATTCTTAATAACTCTTGTCACTGTCTACTTTATGCACTCTCGTTCGTTTCTCCGCGAGAGAGTTTAGATGGCCGTGGATATAAAAATATAGAAGGAAATAAAAAATGAGCCTCGTGGCAGCTAGAAGAGTTAATAGGCGACACGGCGGAGCAATTTATTCTGCTTGTCAGCCTTTATCCTACCAGTTGCTAGCTAGGGATTGGCGAGTTGGTTTTTGAGAGACAGGCTAACACCTGGGTACTCGCGGAGAGCTTCTGTTCAGAAAGCTCGATTCTGCCATCTCGTCGAACATCTCCTCCAGTTATATAAATTCTCTGTTATCGCGTGTTGTCTCATATACAGTTATATAAAAATATACAAGTCCACCTGAATTTAATTTCCAATGTGCACAGTCTGATTTGAATTAAACTTTTAATAGTTAACGGTAATCTGAACGTGAGCCTTTAATGCTAACACAATCTGAGCGAAACTTTTAATATTACGTAATTATGGACGCAACTTCTAACACTGACACAATATGAACCTAACTTTGTAACACCGAGCGAACCTAATATTTAATATTAAGCTGGTTCCGAAGTTAACATCTAATATTGTGTAGCCTGAACTTACTAATCTTGCGTACTTTATACGATAGATTATTTTCGTGTATTTTCAAGAATTCGTGAATCTCCACGGTGGAAATGTGCGCGAGTTGCACTTTGGGTCGTTAAGATAAATCGCCGGGAATAATCCAATAGGGGATCCTCGTTCATCGAGACAACTTATGATGCTGTATTACCGTAGGAACGTGGCATTGTTCTCGTGTAATATGATTCATCCGACTGACAGACATTAATACCCTGTGAGCCAGGCTTGATATTTAGCACAAAACCGAAACCTTTGTCGACTGTTTCCGGTTCGCGTGATTAGCATAATGTTGGCTGTCAACGTCGGATTTCGGTAGCGCAGCTTCCTCTCTTCCTGATCTTCTACATTGTGTTTCCTAATCTTTCTGCGCTTGAAAAACTATTTAATAATTCTCTCGTGTCCCTCTC